GTTACGGCTACTGCCGGGAGAGCAGGATGTCGTGTTAGCACTGGAGGTTGAATTGGTTTTTCTCTGGCGTTGGTAGTTTTGTATTTCAATGAGTGAGAGAGTTACGATTTATTGTCACATGGGCGGGAGAAAATCTAGGGTGGTTATTCTCTTGCATTGACAATAAATGTTTATATTCAGATACATAAGCTTGTCTAGTGGTTGGTGTAAGTTTAGAGTTAGTGGAATGAAACAATATAGACTTAGGTCGCACGAGGCGTATATATACAGAAGTCAGTGTGTCGTCTGGGTATGACAGGAGTATTTTGTCAGAACAGAAACCTTGCGACACGGCGAGAACCAGCTGTTCGTTAGCTACACACAGCCGCACAGGAATGTAAGTAAAGATACGCGGGATGAAGCAGTCGACTAGTTCTGCTTTACTTCACTTCAGACTCTACTGTACTGAAGCTGCTGAGCCTGTGGCGATTGGACGTCATCTTTCATTGCTGGCTTTACCAGGAATGTGGAAATAGCCCCGCAATTTGTACATCACTGCATACAGTATCGTGAAACACGAAGGGATTCACATTATCAAAGCATAAATCTGAAAGATCTCTTTTCCCGTGTCAGCGGGCATCTCCTCTTAAATCATTTGAAAGAAATTGGTCTGTATGATACATTTTAGATATGTATGTGAATAATTAAATCCTTGTTTTTAAATTTGGTGTGATGCTATTATCTACTGACTTTATTTATGGCTCTGTCCAGGTGGTTAAAGTACAACAAAATTATTGTCCCCCTGTGTGACACGTAATCCTATCATAATCGATGTAACTATCATCAACCAGTGCTTTTGATCCATATCATTGCTGCGTATTTTGTAATATTGGCTAGTATTGTTCACAACCACCAGTGGCTAAAGTGATGACGTAAATCCTGCTGGGGTAACATGCAGGAAGCCGAGGTACTGTAAGTCACCTACATCCCCAGCGAGGTAGTCTAGCTTTGGTTACTGGTGGCCTATCGCCCGTGTTTTAAAACTATACATGATGTTGTTTTGCTCAAATATGTTTCATAAATTGTTGTTAAATATCACTTTGCATACATGACTCAATTGTTAATATATTAACTTGGTCTCGTCGCTATATGGCTGAAATAATGCCGATGCGACGTTAAATTCTAACTCACTCACTCACTCGTGAAGAACGTATGAACGTCAAAATATGTCGTTGTGTGGTCTTATGATCGTACTATGGAAAAGGCCTAGGTCGTATGTACTTCGTGTTAAAACTGTTTCGATTTATTACATGTATTACCATTGACCCATGTGTTGATTGTTTGTTTTTATCTCTGTTTTAAGTTTTGAAAGTCGTGTTGAATCAAAGTACCAATTCAATCAAATTGTAACGCAAATCTCATTACTTTTCTTTCACTTGGGTGTAAATATGAACTTTACTGATAGCGTTTATCTGCCTATGAATTGAGTTTTGCCTACTGAACATAATTATGAGTCGTATCGTGGCTCGAACCATGTGATGCTGGCGTCTTACAGAGAGCAGCTGCAAGCTTGTTTACCAATCTTGCAACCAGCTTTGGAAAAAGTTTAACGTGTGCTGGTACAATAGGGACAGACCACTTGCTATTCTAGGGTGCCTGGGATTTTATCGAAAAGAATATATTGTCCCCGCAAATGCTTGAAAAAAATAATTGTTCTCCTGACCTTTGAAAAAAAAAGAAATACATTGATGCAAAATGTTTTTTTGTAAAAAAAATATATTTAGGCTTAAAGTGTAATTTAAAAAATATCTGGTTTTGCAGATGTAGCTGAAAAATAGCTGGTTTCCATGCAAAATGCCAGCCCCTCATACCCAAACTCACACCTCCATCTCACCCCCCCCCCCCCCCCCCCCCCCACACACACACCCCAACCCCCCTCATACCCAAACTCCCACCCCCATCTCACCCCCCCACCCCTCCTACCCAAACTCCCACCCCTATCTCCCCCCACCCCCCAACCCGCCCCTCCTACCCAAACTCCCCCCCATCTCCCACCCCCCACCCCCACCTCCCACCCCCGCCCCATCTCACCCCCCACCCTCACCCCCCCGCCCCTCATACCCAAACTCACACCCCCATCTCACCCCCCACCCCTCCTACCCGCCCGCCCCTCATACCCAAACTCACACCTCCATCTCACCCCCCACCCCCCCCCACCCCCCCGCCCCTCGTACCCAAACTCACACCTCCATCTCACCCCCCACCGCCCACCCTCAGAATAACAAATGGTTGGTCCCCCAGCATACACTGTGGACAGAGATCCTACTGTTGTTGTGGACCATTCGCTCTGTGTTGCCGTAAATAAAAGCGACAAAACTCTTTCCATATCCATTTTTGTTTGTTTGTGTGTTTGTTTGTTTGTTTGTTGTTTGACGCCGCACTCAGCAATATCCCAGCTATATGACGGCGGTCTGTAGATAATCGTGTCTGGACCAGACAATCGCCCCCTACGACAGGCATAGACCTAGTCTACCCCGGCTCTTCACGCGTCTCTTTCCACATTCACAAGTTATCTCTGCTAAAGGCAGAGTCGATTGCACGTCATTTTGGCATAGAGTGATGACTTTCAGGCCATTGAGTGTCTTGCAGACAATGACTATTACCACCCATTCTATTCTTTTCCTCACTGGAAAACAGTTTTTTTTTTATGGTGGGGGAGTTATGTTTGTACTCCGTGTGTTGGTGATGAATTCTGCACACGTTGCTTGTCAAGTCGATATTGTCGGCATTCATGTTGCAGTAATGAAGCCGCGATGTTACGAAGGTATAATAAGTCACGTGACAGCTGCTTGGTTCGTGCGTGTCCGTGCGAATGCCTGACTGTTTTTCACATTACGGTTGCATGCTTGTGGAGACACAAAGGTGAATCCAACCTATAGATTGTCTGTACAGTCGGCACACATGTGATCCTCGTGCTGACGTCTGGTGTCATGATTTCAAGGATTTAGAGCTGCTGGTGCACAGCCTAGCCTCCACCTTCCGCTTCAGGTAACTGATTGTCACCCAGCCTTGAATATCTTCTACAATACGGCTATTCCTTTGTGCCTAGTTTGAGTAAAGTGGGACGACACTTGCATTTAGTCTCAGGTGTGTGTGTGACGTGTGACCTGTGTGTGTGTGTGTGTGGGGGGGGGGGGGGGGGGGGGGGGGGGGGGGGCGGGGGGTCAAAAGTAATTTATAATGACAAATGTTGAATTGAAAACATAAACCTCCAAAATACCGAAGGGGAATTACCTGGTGGAGGTATGAGTTCACAATACCTGCACCTAGAGATCCTGCAAGTCTTTCCTGCACTGGATCATGCACTGTAACACAACAAGCAGGGATGGAATGCCGATATCAAACGCCTCCGCGGAAGGAGTGACCGCTGCATGCACTAGAATCATAACCACATGTGTCCGGATAATATGACCTTGGTTAGTTAAACTTTTTAGGACATCCCCTCTGTCCGCATATGAAAACAAAGGTTCATTTGAATATTAAGTTCCTCACTATATTGCGAAAGCAAAATTAATGTTTAAGTTACACAGAGCAGAAAACCAGATTATCATGCGCAGCCAACGCATGGCTAATCGGTCACGACTACTACCTTCGTTAAGGGTATGCAACGTAGAGCCTTGTATGTGAAGACAATAACACGTTTGTCTGTCCACACTATACACCAGCGTATTAAAACGTTCACAACATTCACGCCACCATATGATATCAGCCTTTGCGCATACATTAACCCTGGCATGATGATTTGTTTGTTAAGGGTATTACATAAGTCAATAAATCTGCGCATAAATGTGCGGCCTCCATGAACTACTTGTGCAGCCCAATTCAATTTGCCTACAATTTCCTGAAGCTGACGCTTTGTTGCTTTCGTTTTCGTCCCCGACTTCCCTAACAGGTGCTTCTGCAGGTAAGGATAAGGTGCAGGTTGTGGAGTCAATCTCTATCACAAAGAAAGTCAGTTTCTGAGTAGGTTCAACTGTTTTGCAAAACCAAGGTATGTCTCTTCTCAATGTTCTGGAAGGCTTCCCAACACACAAAGTTAGCCTTTGCGATGCACAGAAAATCAATTATTCACCTAACATAAAACATTTACGCTTTAACATTCTACGGATAGGTGACGACAAACGGCTGGAAGCTCCAAATGGGAGCTTTGTATTAATCACATCGACTGAAAGTCTTCATTTGTTTAGGCGATGGCAGCGACTGTACTGGTTGCAACGATTTCAGCTGTTTTATTGCTTGAATTAGGATGTTCCGCTCAATGTTTTTATTTTCTGATATCAGGAATTTGACACACCCGTGACAGACATTATGTCCGATGCAATTATCTATTTTCGTTTGTACCATAGGTTCCTATGAACATTTGACTTGCTTCCGCGTATGTTTCTGGCGGGTAACACCGGTGGGACGGAACACGCTGACCTTTTCGCAAACACCTGGTATCATCACTGTTTGGTAGTGATTCATAAACGAATGCTTTATCATAATAGTGGGAATCATACAATAGACCCTGCTTTGTGATCTTATGGTTATGGAAATAGTTTATCGTATACCAGCAAACCACGCAGTAGACATGAACATGTACTTTGTTTGCATCAGTCCGTGTATCCCGAACATCTGTGGTATCATATACATAATATCATCAATCCAGGACTGTTTTGCACAAACACATAAGATGATGCATATATCCAATAGCTTAAGTAAATGAGATCTTCCTGTCCATACAATATGTGTACAAGATACAGAAGCGTATGTGAGAAACACAACTTTTGAAGCAGTGTGTCACAACACATATTCCACCTGCATGTATGAGCACGAGCACCACACTTGCTTTTTTAAAGGCTACCCGTGTTATGGTCGCGTTATAAATATTTAAATATGTGCAGTGGGGTATAACGCCACTTTCAATGGTATTTCAATCAATACTAGTCAACGTTTTAGCGAAATGTGGGTCAGATGTGACCACTTAGGTGTGAGGATCACAAACCAAAAACATAATCGTGATTCGTATTTCCTGGAGAACACACCTTGAAACACCCCTTCCCGGGGGGGAGTAAAGACAGCTGTAGAATGAGGTCAGTCATATTCCCTGACGCCCAATCTGGATGCAGATATGGGGATACAGCAGGTTATGTCGTGTTTACACTAGTATGAATGTCTCCAATACAAACAAAGGTGTCCGCATGACCTACTTTAGCGACTGGCGACGAGCGACCGGCATCGCAAAGGCTGAAGGTGAGTTGCCTGGGAATACTGCAGAGTACTAGTCGACACAGTGCATGCACTTTGAATCAAAGGCAATGGCGTACATGTGTGTGCATGTCTAGTGCAGTACTGAATAACCTTTTTAATGTTGCTCTCAGCGCACTCGTGTTATATGCGTGACAGCAACATGATGTGCTTGAAATATATTAATAATAAATATATAGAAGCAATTTCAGTACACATTCAACGATAAATTTGTAGTTAAGTTGATATCTGTGACAGGGAACAACCACTACTGTAAACAACGCGAAGGGATAACATACAATTGCTGGCTCCGTATATTCAATGAGCTCATGGACTACTTTCATTCACGGCTTGAGAGATCACCTGTACATTCTACCTAATAACTTTTAAATGTCATTCTAAACTTACCGTTACCTTGACGACCGGTGATGCTGGTAGAATATGTATAATATGACTCTATATTATAGCGGTATCTGTAAATCTCGTTATCCACACACCCTGTCGACTGTTTACTTATGCAGATCTAAGCACGATATATCATCGCTTGTTCGAGGACGGGACTCGTTGCGCTGTGTCACGGCTACTCGTAAGTATACACGTAATTTTTTATGATAGTTTCTGGTATGTTTATGATGTGGAATTACCCCTACCATTGGAAATTGATAACAAAAGAACCTATTTTTTTTAACTAAGTCCCTTGACCCAAGGTAGGTCGCATGCTTACTGACTATGCATAATCCAAACAGGTAGTAATGTAAACAATACATTTAATATTAATAGTCTCCATCATTCCGCTGGGCGTCAAAGGCAAAACAGCGGTGACACCTTGTATGGCAAAGCCAACAGCTGCAGTGGTAGTCTGACGTGCGGTTCATGTAATCTGCATCGTGTGATGGTTGTGGCTGGATAATATTACTTACAGAGGAAACGCATCTATCATAATGGTAAGTCTCATAGAATAGGCCATGTTTATTGCTCCTATTTCCACATCACTCAGGGGCATGTTCAAAGTGCTATTATTACCCCGGTCACTGGATCAGTGTGCACTTAACAATCATTCTCAACTCCTTGGGGCCCAACAGAAGCTGCCTGTTAGGCGCCAGAAGGTTAACAACCACATTGCCATCTCATCCTACCAGGTACCCATTCACTGCTGGGTGAACAGAGGCACATTTCGAACAAAGTCACTTGCCCAAGGAGACGCCAGATGTGTTACATGTGCTTCAGTGTGGGGCAGGACCTAAGCCCTAAAACACCTCGGAGCCAAGTTGCCGACACGCCGTTACCATGGTAACACTGACGATGTCACCATTTTCATGTGAAAACAGTGATGTCAAGGGAAACGTACATTGCCATTGGTAACGCACATTTCGGCATGTTTATAACAGCATCCGTTCAGATTGCTCAGTGAGTTGTGTTCGAAAGCACGAAATGTTCGATATTGTACGTTCTGAATAAACTGTTGCCTATTATATTGGCTCGATGTAGAATAAAGACATGAATAACAGTGTAACATTATGTGATAAATATATTATTACCCTCGTGTTGTAAGCATCGTAAATATATCAGGAATGTTCACTAGAGGCTCCCATATTGCAATTGTTTTACTTATAGATGATGTTTACGATATATACCGTAATACTGTGTATTTAGACAGTTTAGAGAGTCCTGGTCAAATAGAATCATAAGGCATGACATATTACTGTATATTTTCCCTTGTCTTTCTGTGATAATGTAAACTACGTTTATAACGAACTCAAAAGAACCACTATGTTTAGTCCGTTATAATAAAATATATGCATATATACAGCAAATGGTCGGGACAAACAAATGAGTTCGTTATGTCCGTAAGTTCGTTATGAGCGTATTCGTTATAAGCGTATTAATTTTTGTGATGTTTGTTTGTTGTTTAACGCCGCACTCAGCAATATTCCAGCTATATGACGGCGGTCTGTAAAATCATCGAGTCTGGACCAGACAATCCAGTGATTGACATCATGAGCATCGATCCACGATGGTATCGATGATATGCATCAATCAAGTCAGCGAGCCTGACCACCCGTTTCCGTTAGTCGCTTTTTACGACAAGCATAGTCGCCTTATTGTCGACCTATTCTACCCCGGATCTTCATGGGTCAAGTATTAAGGCGATATTGTTTTCGCCTGACCAATTGTATTATATCCCAGAGTAATGACATCTCATCGCATTGTACTGAAATTGTTGAGAGTATGGTAAGTGGGTTGCAGACAGTGCAGTTGTTGCGGCTGACAACGGTCTAAGTGCCTTCTAAATTCCCGACATCTTATTATCCCAGATCTTGAAAACCGTACCATATTTCTTCACCACAACTTGTCACATAGTTAGGTCAAGTGGTGAACTTGTGCCTTTTGATAGTTTGGGATTTAAAAAAAAAAATTCCATGGCAACGACTTTGATTTAGACTGAAAATGGCGCTAGTCCTCGTTTCCGGAGCAGATCTTGAAAACCGTACCATATTTCTTCACCAAATTTGGCACATAATGTCATCTCGCAGTATTGAAAACATTTCCATTCTTGTTGGTAAGTTCTGCATTGCTCTAAATATGTCATGGACACGGTTGTTGCATTCATTTACTAACTTTATGCAGAAACACAAGGCCCAGTGAACATAGTTCACAGGAACTAATGCATTGCACACACCCGAACATGTCATACTGACGGGGGATATGAGTATTTCATGCTTGTTAGAATTAGAAAACATTTCCTGAACACATGGCTAAAGTTAAAATTTAAATCAATCACATCAAACATCAGATCTTTTACACCGACACGATACCCTCTCACGTAGGAATATATCTATCGGAGTAAAAGATACGATAATGATGAGTATGACTTTCATTGGAACTACATATCTGTTAAGCCATGCTGTACCTTTCACTGCCTCCGTGGTCTAATGGATAGAGCGTTTTCCCTGAGAGCGGAAGGTCGGTGGATCATTCCCTGTTCACGTCATACCAAATAAATACGATAAAACGTGGTACTTGTTGTTACCCTGCCTGGCGGTCGGCATTAAGGGGATAAAACAGGACTGGTCGGCTCACACGCGCGCGCGTGCGCGCACGCACACACGCACGCACACACGTGCATGCAGGTCGCAATATAAGTGCAATAACCTTGAACGCAACGCTAAACCCGATTTCACCTCACATCGAAATAAAGCCCAATCAATATGTAGTCATTATATCATAATACCAAGATTCCAAGAGCAATATGTTTAAAATCCAGATAAAGAAATAGTACTACTTGTGTGTCTTTATGTCAGTGAACGGGTCGTTATTCCAGTGTACACGTAGCTCTTTCATTTCACAGTTGAATTGGATCATTACGATGCACAATATTTCAAAATGCAAAAAACAATATTTATTCTTATGCTCTCAAGGTATTATAGCTATATAATACAGCAGGCCTGTTGTTGAGTGGGGTCGGGCTTAGACAAGAAACACACAAACAAGGTATTATACTAAAGATTATATGCCTTTTCGTTGGAGTGTTTTTTTATGTATTTACAACCTTTTGTCATTCGTCAGTAAAGCTTTCAAAAAGTTTTATGGTAGATATGTGGAGGAAATTTTCTAAATTTGACGCATCAGTGACAAAAATAATGTCGATGCCCTTTTTTGACTTGTACCATATATTCCTTTGGTTTTTCTAGGTGAACAATTGACTTGCCTTTGCATGCGTTTGTGACGAGTGCCACCGTTGGGGCAGGATACGCCTGCCCGATTACAGATTAAAATTAAAAAAGCAGCAAAGAGGGTTTGGGTGATCCTGGCACAGTCAGGCTCATCATCAGCTCAGGGCCCTTGCACTCTCTACACGCGGCCCAGACAGCGAATGGGACTTCTCCCAGGAAGCGCTGCCTAGTCAAACCCACCCAGAACGTTTCGGAGAATGTGAAGACTCCCCAACACTGCAGCCTTCTGCATTACCCAGATTGTCAGAAGAGCTGTATTCCTGGTAGCAAACCCGGGTACTCTTCCAGAGTCAGTCAACAGATTGGGAGGTACCAAACCTAAGGCACCGAGAACAATGGGGAGTTGGACAACTTGGTACTTGGGATGCAAGCGTGACATTTCGAAAGCGAGGTCCGCATATTTGCCATGTTTTTCCTCAATCTTGTCAATCACATGAGTGTCAAAGGGGACAGAAAATTCAATGATATAAATGATTTCATTGGATTTATCAAAAAGGACAAGATACGGTTTGTTGGCCTGGATACGTCTGTGGCTATTATTATTATTATTATTATTATTATTATTATTATTATTATTATTAAAGGGGAGTTGGCTGATTACTGAATTCTTTATAAAAAGACACTATTGTGTATGTTGTAATCAAACAGTAAGTGAATATCTTAAACACAGACAATTTCTCCGTTCAATTGCAGTTACAACGTACCGACATTGATGGAATCTGAGAACAGCGCGTTGAGGAAAGTACATCTTAATCCGCATCCCCAGTCCATCACTTACTTACCCGGCATAATCCTGTGTTGACCTCGCGTGTTGATACATATTAGTTCACGTGACCTCTGCAGTGACAGGCGATTTTCAGTGACCCAAAGTTGAGGTAAGTGATCGAGATGCGGCAGCTGATGGTGCTCTGTATATCTCCCCGAGGAGGACAATGAATTGCCCAGAATCCTCGGAGTATATTTGCAGGTACACCTTTGCAGCACTAATGTTGCGTTTCAGCGCACTGTTTCCTGTGTTTTCATCACTGCAAACTAAGAAAATTAGTGAGCTTAAAACAGTCATAAAGACACGGACGTTAATCAGTACGTATTAAAATATGTATATAGATGTATAGAAGTACTGTGACGTTGGCTTTATATTTCTAAAGGCAACAACAACTACCGTTATAACATGTCAACCCATGGAGTAACCAGGCTCCCCTTACAGATTCCATTGGCCGAAAAAGGCTAAATAGCAGTGAAAATTATATGAATCACTGAAAAGTAGTGATGCCACCAGGTGTTCGCGAAAAGGGTAATCATGTCCAGGTAACACCCGCCACTGACACAACTCAGAAACAACGCGAAGGGATTACAAATTCGTATTGAATGCTTAAGATTGTCAACACTTAATACTGAAGCTATTGGGAAACATCAATGATAATGTGTTTACTGTCATATAAGATTCCAATGTCGTACTTTCCAGTGCTGGGGGCACGGGTGGCCCAGTCGTCTTAGGCGCCGCGAATCGCTGTGCAGAGTTGCGTCCCCTGTGCACGCCAGAAACCTATGATTGTGGGTTCGAATCCCGCTTCGTCCCGATACCATACCCGTGCTCGTGGGTTTCGCCAAAGTGGTAAACGTCTGAGACCTGCATCATTCCGTGCTTTCCTCCCAGATTAAGCTGATACGCCGTGATATATCTGGAATACTGTTCAAAGCGGCGTTAAACCTAACTCACTCACTCACTCTTTCCAGTGTCTGGACCTTCGTGAAAGATGAAACGTGGTGACGGCAGGAATGGAGCTATCCTCGAGGATAACCAGCTGGTTTCAGTGACCGATGCGCCACAAACATCTATAGACGAGGAGGGCGGGGCAAGGCTACAAGGTAGAAACTGTATGGAACCCAGGCTGTTTCCATGTTAGTCATGCAGAACCCACACAGTGATATCAACACATAACTTTCAAGTCTATAATAGTGTAGCAAGTCTAGGTTTGTTCTGCTTTTGAAAATGAAGAAATTCTCAGGATTCATTGACCATAAAGAAATTACGCATCTTAAGGCAGTTTCATTTCAGAAAGACTACATGTGGCCGTGGTGTCTGGAGTTGGTTATCATTCATCACAACTATTAAGCAGGAATCAGTATGGACTTTACTTGATCTCGCTTTTAATGGGATGAAAACTTAACCCCGTTTCCCGTTTCCACAGGATCAAGTTGCTGTGCGCAAAGATGGCTTCTGGCACTCGTGGGTTGTTTCGGGGGCATCATGCTGGAGTCCGGGCGGTCAAACTTCAGCATGGCCATCGTGTGCATGGTCAACGACACCGACAGCAACGCCATCAACGCCACCAACGTCTCCAACAGTTCGTCAGCAATAAATGAGGTACCTGAGGTATTTAAGAAATGAAAGAAATATTTGATGATAAGTCGTCATGAAATTCAGATTTAAAGTGTTAATTTAAATGAGAATTAGACCTTCACATAAACATTTCCGATAATCCAATATTTTAACGTTTTCTGATATTATAAAATCTGACACTTCACGTGAGTCAAAAGCCCATACCTCGACCTTTCAAATTTGTATCTCGTCCTCCACATCGTTAATGGGGTTCAATGTTCATTTGATGCGGCTTAAAGCAATATTCAATCACACATTGTCCATTTTGTAGCATGCAGAGTTTTACTGGTCGAAGAGGGTGCAGTCTGGGATGCTCAGCGCGTACTTCTACGGTTTCATCGTCATACAAATACCAGGGGGCTGGTTGGCTGGAAGATATGGCGGGAAATACGTCATGTTTATCGGGATGCTGATTGGTTCGATAGCTACTTTGCTTCTACCAATCGGAGCCCGGACCTCTGAATACCTTGTGTACGTGCTGCGGGCGTTTGTCGGCATTTCTCAGGTAAATAGCATCACGTACTTGTTTGTAGCTGCGTCTACAGTATTTCCGCATCCATTTATGTTTCATTGTGAGTTTGTCTATATGTCACTACCCACAATAACTGACAATTGTTTTTTTGGGGGGCCGCCATCTTGTTTTCCACATTCCATACCGATGGTCTTGATTTAAAATCCAAAGTCAAAGTTTCGATGATAACGCATTTGGAGGTAGGTGATTACAGAAGAGATTGGAATCAATAATACTATGTATGATTAGCAGCTATATATAGACGTTGGGCTGTAAATCCTACCCACGTTTGGCAGAGGTGTCTAGCGTGTCCAGAGTCCCCCATGAGTGACGTACAGAACACTGATGTTACACGGACAGATGGCGCATGAATCACCTGTCGCTGCAGCTGGGTCGTCTGTCTCAAATCAACACATTTTCGCATTTTAAAATTATTTTCACCTTGAGCGCCTACACATATTTAACGTGTGAGACGTCTATGACCTACATCTTTGTGACCTGTCCTCACACATTTGCTCCTCATGTCGCGGTATATGCGATACACCCACACCAGAATTGAAATGGTACCCCACGCATCAGTGAAAATAAAAACTAGGAAAATGTGAACCAGAAGTGTCAGCTGTCAAAAAGTCACTTTTTGGAACCTATGGAAAGGTGCTGAGCCTAACTATGATGCACTGTTTGTTTGTTTGTTTGTTTGTTTGTTTGTTTGTTTGATTAACGCCGCGCTCAGCAATATTCAGGCTGTATGACGGCGGTCTGTAAATAATCTGGGCCAGATAATCCAGTGATTGACATCATAAGCATCGATCCACGCAATTGGGAAACGATGACATATATCATGTATTTTGTCAATATCTTCCTCAGTGGTGGCAGTTGATTGTGGATCATCATCGAAGCTATATTCGAGATATTACCCTGGGTAACTGAGGATGATGTCAAGGGCAGGGGTCGTCTCCCTCAGCTGCACGTTTATTCATCGTTTGTGTGCTCTTATATGATTGACTTTTGACACTTTCCACAGGGGGTGTACATGCTGACTATGCAGTCCCTTTTGGGAAGATGGGCGCCGCCATTAGAGAGGACAAAGCTGATAGCTGTTTCCTTTGCGGGTAATATTAAAGAAAAAACATTTGACGACCGCTAGGGTCCCATTGGGATCTAGGCCCTTAATACCGAATTGTCAGTGAAAGAACAAACAGAAATGTGAATCGGATGGGCAAAATGAATTCTGAGTGGGGATAGATTGCATTGGACTACTCGTTATTTTATTTATTATCCACCCCTAGAACCCGCCCAACACCCAACTCATATACTATCAAGCTGAACAGAAACAAGATGTATTATAGCTTCACTGTTGTTGCATAATAATTCACATAGTCTCCAGCCTCCTGGCTTATTTACTGAGCCCGTTTCATATTACAGGTCCGAAGATTGGGAGCATTGCAGTCTTCGCCACGTCTGGGTATCTGTGCAAGTACGGTTTCGACAATGGATGGGCTTCCATGTTTTATATAACAGGTAACAGCATACTGTTTATTTACCACTAATGTTTGTGGTATAGGAACGACTCGACTTTGGTTGGGAGTTTATGTTTTATGTGACAGGTGACAACATACCCTTCTTTTGCCATCTGCACGCTTTTAGTGAGAGAACGACTAAATGTAAGAACGACCCGTGAAGATCCGGGGTAGAATAGGTCTTCAGCAGCCAATGCTTGTCGTAAAAGGTGACTATGCTTCTCGAAAATGGCGACTAACGGGATCGGGTGGTCAGGCTCGCTGACTTGGTTGATGCATGTCATCGATACCAATTGCGTTGGACCCGTGGAGATCCGGGGGAGAATATAGGTCTTCAGCAACCCATGCTTGCCGTAAAAGGTGACTATGCTTCTCGAAAATGGCGACTAACGGGATCGGGTGGTCAGGCTCGCTGACTTGGTTGATGCATAAAATTCCCAAATGCGTGGATCGATGCGCATGATATTAATCACTGGATTGTCTGGTCCAGCCTCGATTATTTACAGACCGCCGTCATATAGCTGGAATATTGCTGAGTGCGGCGTTAAACAACAAACAGACAAATGTAAGAACAGTCGGCTGAAATATGTCATTTGAGTTTGCAAATAAGCACAATGAAACTTTTACTATGATATATGGTTAAAACGGTGTAATGTGAGTATCTTCGCAGAATCTTTATTCATTATATGCTCTAATGTGAGGTGAGGTGAAATGGAGGGTAACGTCGCGTTCTATATTATGCCACTCATATGGCGATGTGCATGCACGTGTGTGTGTGTGTGTTGATGCATGCACGTGTGTGTGTGTGTGTGTGTTGATGCATGTACGTGTGTGTGTGTGTTGATGCATGTACAAGTGCGGACGTCCGCCGGCTTTATAGATCTAGCCCACTAAGATACCAAGCTACAGTATAACATGAATACCCTATCAGACACGCTATACCGACTATCAGTTGGTATAAATATCTTGGGATTATGCTTGATAAAAACGGCAGTTTTTGTAAAGAGGAAAATATTGATAATCCACTAAAATTAATTCAGGAACGTTTTACACGCTGGCAAAGTAGACATCCTACCCTGTACGGCAGGAATCTGTCAAGGAAATCCGAAGGCATCTCTCGTTTTATACATTAAGCATGCTGTTTTCCAAAAGAAAGTACAAATTAATCAATGGGGAAAGTTTTAAGGGGTTTTTTTATAGTAAGGTAGAAAAAGTAACAAGAATAAAAGTGATTCAAAGATGTCCTAATGGAGGAGTTGAAGCCATTGACTTTCAATTGTTTAATAAACACTGAACTTTGTTTGGGTAACAAGATATTTAAGAAATGATAGCTTTTGGAATTTCCTCATGAAGCAAATGTTTGATGCCGTTCCTGCTCCGTGCTTACTATCAAATATCAACACTTCCTATACAAAGTTCAAAGTCTATACCGACATCTTGGACATCAGAAGAAAATTATCTTTATAATGATACCATATAGAATTATAATGAGATTAATGTTAAAAAGACGAGTGTATTTGGCAACGAATAGCAAAATGCTGGTATTACTTATATCAGACAATTATTAGACGATGCCGGTCGCTTTCATACCAAGGAATACCTGTTTCACAGATGCAATATTGTCATGAGTAATCAGAAATATACGATTTATAGAAGCGATGTACTAAGGGCAGTTGGACAGAATATTTATTTTAAAGATTTATCGGATCCAGATAGTGTTGATGACGCCCTAAAATGAATGAAGACGCTATATCTGACGTACCGGCAAAAGCTAAGTATTGGTATTCGTATTGTGTCAGCCTCATCAATGTAGATATTGATTTATACAAATTTGAAAATATAAACGGATGGTAATTGAAAACAAACATAGACACCTACAATTCAAAATTCTTCACAGTATATTTCCATGTAACATATATTTACAAAAAAAATTAGTATCAAGACCAGTAATAGATGTGACAGATGTGGAGTGCCGGAAACAATACAACATTATTTGTTTAACTGTCCAACTGTCCATCCATTTTGAAGTCCATTTTTTAAATGGATGCAAGTGAATATAAATGATATCGAACGTTAGAAATACAGTATTATTTGGAGCGATAAGTGCGTCCACCGACAAAGCGATACTCAATTATCTTCTACATACGGAAAAATATTGTGTATGAATGTAATTTTTTTAAAAGATCTGTAAATTTAAAACTATGTTAAAGAGTTTCATGTTCAAATTATAAACAAACATCAGAAAATGGACCATGTAACGATAGAATGAATATCAGAAGCTCTGTCCAAGTCATGTCCACTAAGCCTGCACATACTACGACCCGTCAGGCCAGCCACGTGGTCATATGGGGTCTGGTGTAAAATCGTGGCACCTAATGTGAATTAGATTTCGTCAGACCACAAAAAAGGTTACCGACTCATAGCAGACCAGATCTTGCTTCATGCCGAGCGTCTGTCCGGGTAACACGTCCAATCCTTCAACCTCTTTTGCTAACCCGGATGCGACAGTCCTCTTGTCTCGAAATACATGTGACACATATATTTTTTTAATGACTTCATTGCTTCGAGTTAAATATGATTTTATACACATGTTATTAGAATAGTCGTCATTATGTGGGAATAGTCTTCACACACGAGCACAAGCATGTCATAATCGTTGTATGTGACGAACCATTAGACATCATGGGAGAAAAATCACATTTTGACTTTTCATTATATTTTAAAACTTCAGCATCTTCGGAACACAAACATTCAATTCCCAAGTTTCAATTCATATTTATTACAGAGATACAAGCCATCACACGTGACGTTCTTCACTGAAGTAAGTAGACGTCAAACGTCTTTGTGACGTCATAGCACAATTGTATCCTAGCATCCACAAGGTCCCATTTCTGCTAGTGGGTCACCTATTATAAAAGCAGTCGCTCTGTATTCCCTGTAGGTGGGATAACGTTGCTATGGTGTGGGGCGTGGTTCTGCACCGTCGCCAGCACCCCGTCTCAGCACCCCCGGATCTCACAGCGAGAAAGAAACTACATTACGAGGAGTATTGGGGAGAAAGAATCGGTAAGGTTGTGGATGAGAATGACAAGACAACATTAAATAAATTATTTATACTTTTTAATTCTCACTTATATTTCCTTATTCCCTGTCACTGTATAGTCCAAAAGTGAAATTCAAAATCTAGAACATCTAGCAGAGCGTTATAAAAATGTAATATTTTACTTATTAATCTATCGCGATATGGCTGCAATATTTTCCGATGCGATGTAAAATTCTCACTCTCTCAGTCACATCTTAATAATCTAAGATAAATGGAAAGATTAACTTCAGAGAACCATCTTATTTATTAGATATTAAATCTGTATCTCTTAAACTAAATTAAGTTAAATTAATTTTAAATAAGTAGACGATACTGATTCCGAGCCGACCAGTTCTTGCTTATCTCCCGTAATGCCGAGCGCCAGGCTGGATAACAAGTATTGACGCGTGTAGTTTCGAATGTCTTCATAACTTCCGACTTAAAAAGGATTTCATGCACATTTTTCTGACTGGGACTCAAGAATTATTCACGACCGTGATAAAAACTTTAATTGTGTGACTGTTGCACAAGCTAAGACTCCTTCATTCACGGTGGTCCACACATCGATTATATGTAACCGTGGTTCAGTGTCTCGCGTTATGATGATGCTCTTGTGTCTATGACAGAGTCCACCAACGCCATGGGTGGCAATGTTGACGTCTCCAGCGACGTGGGCGTGCCTAACCGGACAAGTTTGTTTTAATTGGACGTCATACACACTAACGACCATCACACCCACGTATCTTAAAGAAGTGCTGAACTTCGATATTGCTGAGGTACGTACGTTCTCACTTTACTGAAGAATTGACTTTAACTGTGTGCGAGTTCACTGGAGAATGAAGCTACATAGAGTGAGGGCCAAACTGTATGAACGTCGGAGACTGGAATAGCCCAAAATCTTGTAAACATTCCACAAAAATTATAACAACGAATATAACATTTTAAATAACGAATACTACATGGCAGACACTGGGTGTTCTGTACTCCCGACACATGGCAGACACTGGATTCTCACATCCCGTCCTAGGTGACGCTGTACAAAACAACCTTAGCGCCACGACTGTCGTAAGTCTGTGTTAAGGAATGGGAGTTACGATGACCTCAGCGCTACGACTGTCGTAAGCCTATGTTAAGGTATGGGAGTTACGATAACCTCAGCGCAACGACTGTCGTAAGCCTAATAGTATGTTAAGGTATGGGAGTTACGATCACCTCAGCGCTACGACTGTCGTAAGCCTATGTTAAGGTATGGGAGTTACGATCACCTTAGTGCTATGACTGTCGTAAGTCTATGTTAAGGTATGGGAGTTACGATTACCTCAGCGCTACGACTGTCGTAAGTCTATGTTAAGGTATGGGAGTTACGATAACCTCAGCGCTACGACTGTCGTAAGCCTATGTTAAGGTATGGGGGTTACGATAACCTCAGCGCTACGACTGTCGTAAGCCTATGTTAAGGTATGGGCGTTACGATCACCTCAGCTACGACTCGTAAGTCTATGTTAAGGTATGGGCGTTACGATCACCTTAGCGCTACGACTGTCGTAAGTCTGTGTTAAGGTATGGGCGTCACGATCACCTTAGCGCTACGACTGTCGTAAGTCTATGTTAAGGTATGGGCGTTACGACCCCCTTTGCGCTACGACTGTCGTAAGTCTATGTTAAGGTATGGGTGTTACGACCCCCTTTGCGCTACGACTGTCGTAAGTCTATGTTAAGGTATGGGCGTTACGACCCCCTTTGCGCTACGACTGTCGTAAGTCTATGTTAAGGTATGGGTGTTACGACCACCTTAGCGCTACGACTGTCTTAAGGTATGGGAGTTACGATCACCTCAGCGCAACGATCGCTTTGTACAACGGCACCCTCATGCATTGGTGAATAGAATACTATGCTTATCTGAAATAATATAAAGAAATAATTATTTATATCAATCAAATATCACCTTGTGACACTTATAATTTCAGGCACAGATAAGAACCCTTAGCTTTTTGAAATAACTTGTTATTATAACAACTTGGCTGAGAAATCTGACGTGTCATTTCAAAAGATGGCCCCCAATGTTTTTTTCTATAAGGGCACGGGGCCCAAGTCGTCTTACTCGCCGTAATCCGATGGCGAGTTGCGTCCCCTTGACGTGTCATGATCCAAAGCGTTTTGGTTCGAAAACAAAACCTGATTCTTGTTTCTTGGTTCGTCCGCACCAGGCCCGGTTCATATATTTCACCAAAGTGGTAAACGCCTCCGACGTCCATTGAAATACCTCTAAAAGCGGCTTAAAACCAACATTTTACTCAAACGCCCTTTGGAATTCCGGGTTAGAACCGATCCCCAACTAGCTACGCTGGTCATAGAATGCGACTTAGTGAATCTAATGATCAAGTTCGGTGACCTGTTGCGTGTCATCGTACCTCGACGGCGTGGATCGGTGTACATAATATCAATCACTGGATTTTGTACAGACGGCCGTCACATAGCTGGAATATTGCTGAGTGCGGCATTAAACAACAAACACTCAATAACGTCCATGTCTCTTCGTCCTTCAAGAACGGGCTTCTGGCCTCCATCACCTTTGCTAGCCAGGCTGTGTCCTCTGTGGTCGCCGGTCAGTTGGCGGACTACCTCCGGTCAAGGAAATACCTCACCACGACGGCCACACGGAGGATCTTCCAAACTATCGGTCAGTTGCCTTCATACATTCATATTGTTTCTGTCCAGAATGAACTACACGCCAACATATAGGCACCATATATGTCTTCCATTAATATGATAAATAGTAATGTGTCTTCGTAAGAATGTAGCCATTGGTCTAAATTCACAGCATATGATTGGCCTAACTGTGAACAATGCAAACTATATACAGAACATATTTAAGAAATACGGAACATAGTTTGGTTATATCCTGAGATTACTGGCATTATCAATGTACATTGCAAGGTTTTATAATTACCTTCACAAGAGATGAAAGGCTTTAATGAAATACATTTTAGCATTGTTTGGCGAACTGCAATTTTGCTTGGCACATATCTTTCTCTTAAGGCTCTTAGTACAAATCAATATATACTTATACTCATCCTCCACAACATTAACATTACAGTTCTGCCACTCGTTGCATGATTTGGCTATTTTATGCCCCCATCCCCATCATGTACAGAGATTATGGGAAATGCAACGGAACTTGGACAAAGCTATCATAAATGTTGCAATGGTAATTTCTTTCAGATATAATTCAACATTGAGAAGGGGTTCAAAGGAAGGATACATTTGTGTTTTAGAGTTGTTTGACAATGCCAGTCCTGTTTAAAAGAACATTTAAATCTCATAACAAATTCTGAAATAAACGATTCGTTTAGTGTAACATTCTGAGCTTCTATACAAACCCATATCCAAAACGAAATGAAGGAAGTCTGGAAGCCCTGTTGGCTTTCATCTTGAATTAATATATTATACCATTTTCTAGGGTATCTTTCGTTTATTTTGTTTGTTAGTTGTTTAACGCTGCACTCAGCAATATTCAGGCTATATGGCGGCGGTCTGTAAATAATCGAGTCTGGACCAGATAATCCAGTGACTGATTTCATGCGCATCGATCCGCGCATTTGGGATCGATGACATGCATCAACCAAGTCAGCGAGCCTGACCACCCGATCCCGTTAGTCGCCTCTTACGACAAGCATGGGTTGCTGAAGACCTATTCTACCCCGGATCTTCACGGGTCTTCTATGGTATCTGGCATCAGGCATTCCTGACAACGTAACCTTATATATTGACACGTTTTACTTAACAGAATATATAAGGTCGGGTAGATACTGCACGTGGAATCGGTGGTGAATCCTGACGTCATTGTGGATCAGCTTCATAATCAAAAGACCACGTTGTGAAAGTACTTTGTTGTTATTCAAAGAGAACGCTTACAAATAAACGTGTTCGGTCGAATCTAGCAGGTGGCGCTCCCTGCGCCTTTCATATTCGCTAGCAGCAAGTGTGATAATCGCATTATGTAAATCCTTCATATTGAAATAACCGTTTAATTCTGAAGATGTCCTCATCAATAACATTTGGATATGTCCCATAAATTTGGGGTTAGGGGATATAATATTGGCAAGAAGTGGGCATCTTCCTGGACACCAACTCCCCCTCTTGTTGATCTATGTCTTTATGCATGTTGATCGGAAGAACTGCTCGGATTGGACAAATCAAGGGAATTTGGCGAAGAAGTTTAACTAAATGCCCCCTTCACATACACGGATTATTCTTAGGAGTCCTTACGGATCGCACAAATTCACGGATCCTTACGATTTGGCCACATTAACGAGTGATTTAAGAGTTGTTGCGAGTTATTACGAGCTATTTACGGTTTATTACGGATTATTACGAGTTATTACGATGTATTTACGGTTTTTACGAGTTGTCACGGATAACCACGAGCAACCTACGGGCTTTTTACGAGCTTTTTACGGATTGTTACGAGTATATTACGGAATGTTACTATTCATCGAAGCTTTTACGTGTTAGTTACGACCTGTTCACGAGTATATAGATCCTGCAAATCTCAATGTATCACCATTTGACAGCTGACATCCCGAGAGACAACATGGCATATGAGACAAACGGAGTGCAGTTATATCAACAATTTCTACAATTGCTCCTTCAACTAGCCCAGAATGAAGAGGACGAGGCCCAGCAGCTACCAGATATTCCTCGACCGATATTGTAGAGTAGATATGCAGAGATGTGACTTCTATGACTTCTAAATACAACTGAAAATGAAGATTTCGATTTTGCAGCATTTATACCTTTCCCCAAATCGTAAACAATACGTAAGAATACGTAAAGTATACGTATCTATTCGTAAAGTACTTGTAACTACACTATAAGTGCTCGTAATAATTCGTAACAATCCGTGAAGCCATCGTAACACGACCCGAATAATATCGTAAACAACACGAAATCACTCGTAATAATCCGTAAATAATCCGTACACAAATCGTAAACTAACCGTAACAAATCGTAAAAATAATTGTTACGAGTCATTTACGGATTCTTGCGAGCAGTTTACGGATGGTTATTTGTTGTTGCGAACGGTTTACGATACTTACGGATTGTTACGAGTAAATTACGAAAAGAATCAATCCGTGGACAATCGTAAGATGATTTTTGACATGTCAAAAAAATTGCCTCTCCTTCCACGGATCCTTAAGAGTGTCTGCGAGTTGTTGCGAGTAGTGACGTCTTATTTACGGATACCAGCGAGTAATTCACGGATGCTTGCGATTGACAACGAGTTGGCGATCCGTAAGGACTCGTAAGAAAAGTCTGTGTATGTGAAGGGGGTATAAGTCTCAGGTTATCTGATATCATTCAACAATAGTCAAATAAACAATTCCCTTCCACTGATTTAACCACCTGAACAAGAAATAAAGGAGACAAGTGAGACCGCCTCATCTGTTCCCATTTAGATGTTAGACATTTAGAAGATGTACCACGTGGGGATACCGTTAGAGCTGATGCCCAGCAGCCCATGTTGGTTGTGTGAGGCGACTGTATGGATCAGTCTGCCAGGCTCGATGGCTTGGTTGAAGCAAATCCACGGTCCTGGCACAAGCTCCTCACAGCGCTATCCGGTTCGCGGGGCTCTCTATACTAACGCTGCCTGCCACCAGTCAAACGCCCTATTGTGATAGTTGAACTCACAGCCGACTGACCGTTATGTTTACAAACAAGTGATGACTGCCGTGACGCCGAATACTTTTACCCCTGCTAAATTATTTTCTTTCTTTGTCAATTTAAATTTCTGTTTTATTACAACAATCATGTAATTAATATAGTAAGAGTGTAAGAGGGAATATGATTTTCCGTTCGTCTGCAATCTCGACCCAGCCTGATCAAACAAACAAAAAGGTAAATTCTTCTGGGAAATATGGGCAGTCGTAAACCTTTTCAACATTCGCTATGATTGCATTCCCCAAAACATAAACAAAACTATACACGTAACTACATTTGGGGCTAGAGGCCACATTTCCAGATTCTTGTAATTGCCGCGCCCAAACTCGTGGCAGCGATGTTACCGAGAGTGTAACGAATGTGTCACGCACTGGGTCCTGGCACGTATAAGGGGAGTAACTCTGCACAGCGAGCCGCGGCGCGCTGATTATCATTCATTAGGCCACCTGTACTTCTTAGAGTTACTGTTGCTGACCTGTAGTACATAGGTCAACGACCCGTGAAGATCCGGGGTAGAACAGGTCTTCAGCAACCCATGCTTGTCCACGTGAAGATCCGGGGTAGAATGGGTCTTCAGCAACCCATGTTTGCCGTAAAAGGCGACTATGCTTGTCGCAAGAGGCGACTAACGGGATCGGGTGGTCAGACTTGCTGACTTGGTTGATGCATGTCATCGTATGCCAATTGCGTGGATGGATGCTCATGATGTCAACCACTGGATTGTCTGGTCCAGACTCGATTATTTACAGACCGCCGTCATATAGCTTGAATATTGCTGATTGCGGCGTTAAACAACAAACAAACAAACATATGTCACCATCAATGGATTATTTGGTATTCCAGCGTTCCTGGGAGCAGGTGTCTGTCTGATAGGAACTGGGTTCGTGGATGCTGAACGCCGCTATGTCGCTATAGCTCTGCTGACAACAGCCATGTGGTTTATGGGGGTGTCGACGGCAGGGTACCTCGTCAACTTTGTCGACTTCGCCCCAAGGTAGATCAGTTCTTGAACTCGTCCCCGTGGGGATTCCGTGTAGCCCCTCGGGAACCTTCGTGTCGTGAGAGGCGACTTAATGATCGGGAGGTGAGACTCGATGACATGGTCTTTGGCGTGTCATCGTATCCCGACGACTATGAGCGTTGTTCACAATATCACCCACTTGTTCTAGCCTAGCCTCGATTATTTACAGGCCGGCGTCATAAACCAAGAGTATTGCTGACTGTGGCATTAAACAACATTCACTTACCCACTTATTTTGATACGTTCTTAGGGGGCACGGGTGGCCCAGTCGTCTAAGGCGCCGCGATTCGCTGTGCAGAGTTGCGTCCCTTGGGCACGCCAGAAACCTATGATTGTGGGTTCGAATCCCGGTTCGCTCCGTTTATGTTTCTAGGTTTGTTAGCACCATACCCGTGCTCGTGGGTTTCACCGAAGTGGTAAACGTCTCAGACCTGCATCACTTCGGGCTTTCCTCCCACACTAAGCTGATACGCCGCAATATAACTGGAATACTGTTAAAAGCTGCGTTAAATCCGACTCACTCACTCACTAATACGTTCTTAATACTAAATTCCATTTTTTCTCAACATAAAGCGCAGATTACGGGTGACCGTAGACGAACATCTAGTCTCTAGTCATAAAAAATAATAAAAAAAGAGCCCAGAGACTTTCTTGATTTTCAGATTCTGCAGTAATCTAGACTTGCCAAATATTATAGACTTGTATGGGAATGTATTGGATATATTTGTTTCAGGGTCTGTTTGACAGACTAGTATAACCCTTGCATTGGAAATTAAGAGATTCATGTTTCAGATATGCTGGTATACTCGTCGGGGTCTCAAGCACTGTCTCCACATTGCCAGGAATGGTAGCGCCGCTCATCGCCGGAGCTTTGACCCCTAATGTAAGTATGACATTCGTTAACCCACACGGATAACGACCCCATGGGAATTCCCGGGTAGAGTGGGTCTCCTCGTGCCTAATCCCTTCACAAGGGGACACGTCATGGCTCGATTGACTTGGTGACACCGTGTCAGCCCACCCTGATAGCGTCGGTCGCTGCTCATGATATCAATCACTGGGTTGTCTGGCCCAGATGTCACTATTGACACAGGACTCTGCCATGTAGATACACGCGGCGCAACACAACAAAGTTCGAACTCACAACACCGACATTTAGCCTACTGCCTGTCTGTGCTGTCAGAAGCGTCGTTTTTCTCGTTTCTGTGTTGTAATATTCAATTATTTCTTTCTTTGCGTGCATAATTCTTATTTTGGTAAAATCGAACTGATACATCATAAATATCAAGTATTAACTGATATCACTTTTCGTGTTATGTATGTACAAGCTATGAACATTTCACGTTCTGAAATTGAATTGATTTGTGATATCACAGAATGTATTTTATTATATAAAATATAGCGTTGTCCCTGTATTGAAATTGATCAAGACTGACTGACGTCAAATGCAGCGTTTTCAAGCTCAGAACCGGACAATATATTCCACTTAGGATAAAAAAAATTGCTTTGCAATACGAATGGTTTTTCATTATGGTTTTTTTCACAAAACAATTTTTACAGATCGAATTATCAAACCTGATTGATTTTGCGTGTAATCGATATTGTCGACATGATATGGCGCTCTTATACAGAGTAAAGAAAGCGAGAAAACTTTCCATATCCAATAGAAATCTCTGCATAAAGCAGAGTCCATTGTACGATTGCGATTATATCATGAGCATACCTTTATGAATCACTATCAAATAGGGATATTACTAGCTGTTCGCGAAAGGTGAGCGTATCCTGCCCCACCGTCACAAATACATGCAAAGGCAAGTCAACTGATCACCTGTTTTCTGCTGAATCTGCTCTTTTTCTCCCAACAGAAAACCCAGGAAGAATGGCGAAACGTGTTCTACGTGTGTGGGGGGTTCTGTGTCCTGGGGACTGTGGTGTTCGGCACCCAGGCCCGGGGGGAGCTGCAGCCCTGGGCCGTGGACCAGGTGGAGGTGGTCGGGGGGGAGGGGGAGGGGGAGGGGCAGGGAGTGCCGATGTTGAACACGGTCGCCTATATCAAAGATGACAGCTGTGATACAATCAGAGACGCTATTTCATCTGACAAGAATATAAAAGAAGTTGTTTCTTAACTGAGAGTGTGTTTCCTCTTCTTTGACAGATTCTCACAGAGTGAGTGAGTGAGTGAGTGAGTGAGTGAGTTTGGTTTTACCCTGCTCTGAGCCGTAGTTCTGTTGCATCACGGCGCGCCAGCTGGTGAAGCAGGTTTTAGATGTTTACTCACAAACCACAAGCACGGTGTGATACTAAAACATGATCGGGAAGAACCGGGATTCAAATTACATTAACGTCAAGCTGAAAATTGCAGCGAGTGAGCCTTCTGGTTTCAGCAACACGCCATCAATATTAATATTATTGCGGAGGTCACCAAACACCAAACACCACCAACCCGTGTTGGTAATGGAACCCATGTTCCGGTGTGACGAACGAACGCATTGGCCACTTGGTTCTCCCTGGTAATAGAAATAGCTGAAGGGAGGCTCATTTTTTCACTTTTGCAACCAAATTAAGGAACTGTTAATAAAAGAGACAAAACAATTACAATAATCATTATCAATTTCTTATTGAATCCATTGTCTATACCATCAACATGTCAGAAGGCAAATATTAGTTCTTCAGATAACGAGGGGTTGTTATAAATATATTTTCAACATAATCCCCCCCCGAAGTTCACGAACTTCTATCAATGATGCCGGAGTGCCTGGGTCAGGTGTCGAATGCTTCCTCCTGGTGGTGTAAAAAGTCCTTCACAGCAGACATGCTTGCCAGACAGTTGTTACGGCAAGTGTGGGAAGAGCTGTAAATCTGACGGTGTTAATCTGGTAAATACGGAGCATGTTTTAAAGGCTCCAGCCATGCACTGGAGCCATGGACACTTCTGACTTGAATACAAGTGCTGGCGGAACAGCAAATATTTAGTTGAGTTTTCCACAGATTATCATAATTTTAGCCAGTAATGCTCTGAGCTTTCGGGAGATACCCCACCAGATAACGCCAAAACCGTAGCCATCATCCAGACAACTGATGAACAGATTTGCCGTCTCCTTCAGAGGTGACCCGAGATGTTTCCGCTGCTGTGACTGTTGTATCCGACGAAGAAGATGTTGTTCCAGTGGATACTTGATGACCTGACAACACAAGTACCTCTGGGGGTCCACAACGTTTCCTTGTGAGTTCCTCACTAGATGTTTAGAGCTCAACTTCCAGTCCCCAAACTGCCCAGCTCGGGCTGGTTTACATGCATAGACCTCTGGCAGTGTTGACCATATTCTTAATAAGGTAATACCTCGTCCACAGCCCACATGTCTCTAGTGCTGTGGTCGTCTGTGATCATCTTACCCTTGGCCATATAAGACAACCCAGCGGTAGCTGCGCCGCCATTTTGGAAGAGTGCGCAAGCGCTTCGAACTGTTGCGACCCCGCGATGAGCGATTAATTTGCTTTCTCTAAGCGATTCGTAGCCTGCAACGCGCCCCAGCACTAATTTAAAGACACTGCATATTACTGTCTACAAACTGAAAAATTTGGAAGAATGATGTTGGATGATAAATATAATCTCACCCTTGTCTTTCGATATAAATAATATTAAAAGACACTCGGGTGAGGTTGTCTATGAATACAAGCAATCTTTTAAGAGTGTCCTATACGTCGTAGACTCAGACCTTAAAAGTCACCATATTTGTGTAATTCCAAGGTAACGCTGGTTTACGCTGCTTTTAGCAATATTCCAGCAAAATCACGGCGGGGGACACCAGAAATGGGCGATACACATTGCACCCATGTGGGGAATCGAACCCGGGTCTTCGACGTGACGAGCGAACGCTTTAACCACCAGGATATCGCCGCCCCGGGGTGGTTAATAGCCACAACCGGTAGCTAGGGCGTCAGGCTGGTCTAATATTCTGAACGATCGTCAATACTTCATGGGTTTGGCTTCTGTACCGCGATAACATAAGTGACGAGTGTAATAAGTCAAATAGGCTTCACTTTGAGTTTGTAAAGCAATATTCCAGCAATATGACGGCGGGCTGTAAATAATCGAGGCTTGACCACACAATCCAGTGATTGACATCATGAACATCGATCCACACAATGAGATACGATGACATGCATCAACCAAGTCAGCGAGCCTGACCACACGATCCCGTTTGTCGCCTCTTACGGCAAACGTGGGTTTCTGGAGACCTATTCTCCCCCGGATCCTTCACTTTGTAAGCAGATCTGGCGGTCGCAAGGCGATGACACATATTGCACACGTGACTGTACTGAGTAGAGCGGTGATTGACACCGTTAGGATTGACCTCTTTAAGCGGCATTCAGACGTCGGTATGATGAACAAGGGAGCCAGTTTGATAGACGAGTGGTTTATTCTCCCTGCAGTGTTTTATTGTACGATAAACAACTCCAACTCGTCGTTTATATGTTATATGAGATCTCCACATCATGTACAGCCTATTTAAGGATGATGGTAGAATGTACAAGCTTGACAATATTTACCCGTATTGTAATAATGACTACTCCCTCCATAGAATCCGAGCTCGGCAATGTCGGACAAGTCAGGTTTATGAACAGGTGGGTTAAGTTTGGTATTTCACGCATATTCTCACAATCCTCTCGTCGACTACCTGTACATTTTCTTCCAATACCGATTGTCATATCTCTCCCACTGTTGGATACAATTGTTCGGCCATTGCATTTATCTGCGTTACCCAGCTACATCTATGGGGAACACTCACTAGACACTTCACTCTCACAAATCAAGTTGCGAGCGCATGTTCGAAACTCTTCATGATAGAACAATGTTTTATCGTAAAAAGACACAAACTGTATCATTGTACTTTGCGATTTATCGCGTAGCTATCTTTATTATAAACTGGGCGGCAAAAGAAAGTATAGGTCGAGTTTCATGATCGATAAAAAAATAACAAGAAGAGGTTTTGTTGTGAATTATAATATAATTGACTGATCAACCACAGTTTGAATGAAATTGTGCAATCACAGGTAATGTAAGCTCAAGGTAAACAATGGTGGGGTAAGAAATTTCATTTTCAAAAGTTGTCTGAAATGTCACCAAAAAAATGTCAGACACACTACAAGTTCATTGTCGACACAGTTGCCTTCAATAGCGTGTATGACCTCCAGCTGCCTCAATGCATGCCGCCTCATCGATGACGTCAGTCTTCTGATGACGTGGACTGGAATCCGTTGCCACTCGTCTCTCAGGGCCTGCTGCAATTCTTGTCTGTTGACGGGAGGCTGATGGCGTGCTCTAATCTGTCTGTCAAGATGGTCCCACAGATGTTCAATAGGATTCATATCGGGTGAGTGGGCAGGCCAGGGCAAAATGTCAACGTTCTGCTGGTTTAGAAAGTTCCGAGTCAGTCTTGCAGTATGGGGCCTGGCATTGTCGTGTTGAAACAATGTCCCCTGCTCTTCGTTTTGTAAGAACGGGAGCACAACTGGCTGCAACACTTGGTCTCTGTACTGCACAGTGTTCAGGTTCCCCTTTATAATCACCAAAATCAATCTCCTGATCTCCACAACTACCGCCCCAAACCACGACACCTCACCCGCCGAATGGATGGACCTCTCGTATACACGCCGGAGCCAGACGTTCCCCTCTGCGTCGATAAACACGTTCTCTGCCGTCATTTCGAAACAAGTTCTCGAAACCGACTTTCATCAGTAAACAGCACTCGACGCCAATTTCTCACTTGCCAGCGTCGAACCTGCCTCGCCCATCGCAGTCTCAGGCTCCTGTGACAGTCGTGGCATTTCTTTTGTGTGCTTTCATCACGTGTGGTTATACCCTGCAGACGAACGCATTTATACAGCTAACATGCACGTGCAGTTTATGGGAAACCTATTTTGTCACCGCACGAGCGCCGTCATAGATGGCGCGTTCGGGTGAGGTGTTTTTTGGTACCTGTTCCTGGGCAGTCATATTCCCAATACCCACTTTCCACTAGTTATCGCTGTTTTTAGGAAAATTACAAATTGCCGCCCTAATCTTTCTTTTGCCGCTTAGTTTATTATATATTTGTTTGTCTATTTCTTTACAAGCATTGGTTGCTGAAGACCTATTCTACTCCGGATCTGAAATTGTCAGTGTCCGTCCTGCGTGAAGCCATGACTGACGCCAAATCACGCACAACGACGACAGTATCTTCCTGCATTTCTGACTAATTCTCTTGGTTACCATGGAAACCATACAATAATTACGCGTACGTTTCTCATTACTTACTGTAATTATGGATTCACGCGTTGAATGGTTGATTTAATTTAATTAACACACCGTAATTACTAAAACTGAGAAATACGCATCCCTGAAACAGCTGTGGGGTCACTCTATTGTTTCAACTGTAGATTATTTACAACGAACTGACAGTTACTGACCTACTTTCTGCAATGTAAAGTTGATGCTCCTGCATAAATTCTCAGCAGGTGCATTTTAAATTTATTGGCTACAGCGTTCAAAAAACACAGTACGAGTATGCAGGTTTGGTGATATTCAGCACGGATACCAAAGCACGAGTTTAAAATTTACATGCAGCATGTGTGTGTTTGATTTTTTATAATGTTCATTATTTAAAGTCATTTAAGTGAGATACGTAACTGGACATCCCCTGCATAACGATGAGAATGGTTTTGTTTGTTGATTGTTTAACGCCGCACTCAATGATATTCCAGCTACACTCTTAAAAAAAAGAAACGCACAGGTAGATTTTTAGTAAATTTATTCTACCAAATAAAGTCGATATATTTCATTTAATATCATAGATACAAATATGACACTTTGGAACTCGATAGTCACATGTTGTCGAAAACTGTTCATTGTCAAGTCACATAAGACCACAAGGTTGCGCTGAACTCAGTATCTCGTGTGACCGCCCCGGCAGCAATCACGGCTCGGCACTGACTGGATAAGTGTACGAATTTTGTCCTGCGGAATTCTGCGCCGTTCTGCTTGTAACGCGTTGGCCAGTTCTGGGAGTGTTGGCGGCGTGTTCTGACGTTGACGTGCATGTCGATCGAGTTCATCCCAGAGGTGTTCGTTTGGGTTGAGATCTCG